CCATTAGTTATTTATTATTCTTGTTAATTAGTTTTTAGAGGAATGTACACACTTGTAACTCTAATATTAAAATACTTTGATGTGTCTTTTCTAACATACTGTATGTTTAACAAAATACCATATGTTATATTTAATAAGTTAACTTTGTTTTTGTTTACAATCATTGTTATTTAGGATTCAATTCAGAATACACCTATTTTATTTTACACATCTTTTATTTAATACTAGCAGAGTACCCGTCCTTCGTACGGGGTTGGCATATAAGTATCAAATGCTTATAGCAGTTATGAGTGAGGACATGGTTTAAGAAATTTCGGTTCTTTTTGAAGTTCGTTCGCTACGCTCACTCACCTTTAGGTTGGAGCTCGTTCGCTGCGCTCACTTTCCTTCAGGTTAACTCGTTCGCTACGCTCACTTGCCTTCAGGTTAGCTCGTTCGCTACGCTCACTCGCCTCCAGGTTGAAGTTCGTTCGCTACGCTCACTCACCTTTTGCTGTTGTCATAAATGTAAAAGAAATAATAGTGCTAGTGCTGCACCCTGTTGGTAATCCTTGTAACTTTTAATGCTATTGAACATCATAGAACAGAACCAACTTGTTTAATTGAAACAGCTGTTGAGATTCATTAATTCCATTTCTCATAAGGTTAACATGGGAAACTCCAGAGCCACTGGGGCGGAGCCCCGAAGGATTTTTGGGATAAAAATATGCCTATATGTTAATCGGGAATGTGAGCTATCATCATGCTAAATTTCAGCCCGATCCGACCAGTAGTTTTTGAGATTAGCTCATACAAACACACACACAGACACCACCTCTTCTTTATAATAGTATATATAGATAGATGTAATAGTTGGGCGACGAGGAAAACCAGTTTTTAATTTTTTTTACATTCTATTTATTACAATTTATTTTTTAATATGAGTGACCTAAGTTACACTGAAAGTTTGACTGATTTAAAGAAGATTAGAGTAGTAGTGAAGGGTCAGTTGTCTAAGGCTGAAAGATGGCTAGCAAACCTACAAAACATGTCAAAAGAAGTAATCAAAACCAGGATAACAACAATTGAAGATTATTGGGAAAGATTTAATTCTGTACAACAATTAATAGAAGAGAAAACTGAAGAAGCTGAAATTGAGAAAGAAATAGATTACAGAGTAGAAATGGAGGACAAATATTACAAGGTAATGGATGAGTTACAAAAACGTATGGGACAGCTTGCAGAACTACAAGTGAACACTCAAAATATTGTGCCTAGTACATCAAATTTGTCTACTCCACAACGTCGATCCACTACTTCCTCAATGATTTTCACACCATATCAGGAAAATGAATCATTCAAGAACTTCATTCGTCGATTTGAGATATTTCTATATCTACATAGCCAAGAATTGGAACCAAAGGATCAAGTTTACACAATGCTACATGCCTTAACGCCACATTTACATCAGAAACTGTATGATTTGTGCGCTCCTGAAAGTCCTTTGGATAAAACATATGCTGAATTAGTAAGTCTTTTGGCTGATTATGTTGACCCTAAACCTAGTACTTGGGCCTTACAACACAAATTTATGACAAGAACACAAGAATCTGAAGAAACCGTAAAAATATATTCCGTTGAGCTTCAAAAGTTATCTTCAGACTGTGACTTCAACTGTAATAATTGTGGGAAATCAATTGCAAACACATTACTACGCATGCAATAAGAGGTATTAGCAATTCAGACATAAGAACAAAATTAAGAAAGATCTGCTTCATCGTTTCAAGATGTAGTGAAACTTGCCTCCATTATGGAATTGGCAAAGAACGAAAGCTATATAGTAGAAGAAAACATTCATTCAAATGAGAAAATCAACAAGATAGCAGGTACAGGAACAAAACCACCCCATTTTTCTCCTACTTGGAACAAAAAGTTAAAGTCTCCATTTGAACGCCTCAAAGGTAAATGCTATCGTTGTGGATCACCTAGACACAGGGCACATCAGTGTAAATTTATCGGAGAAATATGTAAGAAATGCAACAAACAAGGGCATATTGCTAGCGTATGTTTAGGCACAAAACAAACAGAAATTCATTGTACCGAAACTGACAATACTATAGACTATTATAAGGAAGAGAAACAAGAGGTTTTTAAGATACACAACCAGAGTGCCGGTAATGACAAGTTTATGGTCGAGATACTTATTGAAGGTAAACCTGTGCGGATGGAGTTAGATACTGGAGCAGCAATAAGTATTCTACCATACTCTACCTTCAAAAGTCTCAACATAAATAAAAAGATTTTCCACACAAACATAGAACTAAGGACATACTCAAGCGAAATAATCAAACCCCGGGGTGTCGTCTTTGTAGAATGCACTTACAATGATCAGGTGTTTGTTGGGAAACTCTACATAGTGAACCAAAATTTCGATGCCATTTTCGGAAGAGAATGGATTAGAGAGGTCAAACTGGATTGGGCAGAACTTAAAACAGTTAGTAACAATACTACATCTACTGCACTCGAAGATCTTTTGGATGAATTCAAGGAATTATTTGAACCAGGAGTAGGACTCATACCTCACAAAAAAGCACACTTACAGCTTGTTGAAGGGGCAAGACCTATTTTTGTGAAGGCTCGTCCAGTCCCATATGCACTAACTGAAAAAGTAGAACTCGAGTTGAATCGTCTGGAAGAAGCTGGAATCATTTCCAAAACAGACAAGTCCGATTGGGGTACTCCAATTGTACCTGTAGTAAAGCCTAATGGTAACATACGAATATGCGCTGATTACAAGGTTACAGTAAATAAACAAATCAAAGAAGAACATCATCCAATACCTCGGATCGAAGACATTTTTGCTCAAATGAATGGAGGACAGTTGTTCTGTACTTTGGATTTAAGTAACGCTTATCTCCACTTGGAAATGGATGCTGAGAGTGCAGAAATTCAAACTTTGAGCACTCATAAAGGACAATACATAGTTAACAGACTGATGTTTGGTGTAAAAGTTGCTCCAGGAGTTTGGCAAAAGGTGATGGGCGGAATCCTTCAAGACCTTCAAGGTGTTCAGTGCTTCTTCGACGATATAATAATTCAAGGAACGTCATCAAAAGAACTACTAGAAAGACTAAAGCAAGTGTTTGAGCGTTTAAGGAGTCAAAATTTGAAGTTGAACCGTGACAAGTGCAAATTTTTTCAAAAGAAAATTGAATACTTAGGACATGTTATTGACGCCACTGGAATCCACAAAAGTAAGGATAAAATCACAGCAATTACAAATGCACGAAGGCCTCAAAACATACAGGAACTCCGATCTTTCCTAGGGCTTGTTAATTACTACAACCGGTTTGTAAAGAATTTGTCCACTGTTTTAAATCCTTTACATAGACTTCTAAAAAAAGGGCAGTCATTCATATGGGACAGTAAGTGTGAAGAAAGTTTCCAAAACATCAAGAAAAGAATAACAAGTGACACAGTTCTTTGTCACTTTAACCCAGACCTGCCATTGATCCTTGCAACTGACGCTTCACCAGTGGGACTTGGAGCAGTGATATCACATCGTTTCCCAGATGGAAGTGAAAAGCCTATAGCTTTTGCTTCAAGATCATTGACCAATGCTGAAAAACATTACAGCCAAATCGATTAAGAAGCCACAGGTATATACTGGGGGTTGAAGAAATTTTTTTCTTATTGCTACGGACGTCATTTCACACTCATCACGGACCATAAACCATTAGTGTCAATCTTCAATCCCAACAAGAGCCTACCGTCAATGTCAGCTACGCGACTATTCAACTACTCCCATTTTTTATCAGGATTTAACTACACAATTGAATTCAAGAGAACTGGTGACCATGGGAATGCAGATTTCCTCTCAAGATTTCCTGTGGAAGATTCAAAATTTACAAGTATTGACCAGTTTGGACATTTTCAAACAAACCAATTGAACACCATAACTATCAATCCCAAAGAACTAGCCGAAGAAACTAAGAAGGACGCATATCTAAAACAAATTCTTGAGGCTCTTGAGGAGGGTCAATCATTAGAGCCATTGGGATTTCACGATAATGAAGTTACATTACATGAAGGATGCCTCTTCAAAGGGTGGAAAGTAATCATCCCAAATTCCCTCAAGAAAAGAATTCTCAATGAACTACACTACGGGCACATTGGTATAGTAAAAACCAAAGCTTTGGCAAGAAGTTACTGCTTTTGGAGAGGAATGGATAAAGACATTGAAAACATGATTGCTGTTTGCAAGCCTTGTCGTGAGAAACAAAATTCTCCAACGAAAGAGATCAACCATCCTTGGGAACCAGCAACTCAGCCATGGGAGAGAATACATACAGGGTGATTGATATAAGTGTGCCAGCCGTTTTATTCTAAAACTATAAGAGATATCAAAAAAAGTTAAATGGTAAGTGCCTTGGATTTTTTATTTTAAAAATTTTAGTCAAGTCAAAAAAATTATTTTAGCCACCATTTTTCCAATATGGCCACCAACTTTGATTTTTCTTACGGAACACCCTGTATTTTATGATGTATTCCGGTAGAAAATGTAATTTTAAGACGATTTTATTCTTGGGATTTTTTTCATAAACCTAACCGTTTCAAAGATAATAATGTTTAAAGTTTTAAAAATTAGGCATAAGAAAGAGTTTCGATAAAGGCCTAAGCAAGCATGCCAGCTGTTTTATTAAAAAACTATTCAAAATTTCACAACTTTAACCATTATTATCTTTGAAACGGTTAGGTTTATGAAAAAAATAACAAGAATAAAATCGTCTTAAAATTACATTTTCTACTGGAATACATCATGAAATACAGGGTGTTCCATAAGAAATATCAAAGTTGGCGGCCATATTGGAAAAATGGCGGCAAAAAATTTTTTTTCGATTTGACTACAATTTTTAAAATGAAAAATCCAAGGCACTTACCATTTAACTTATTTTGATATCTCTTATGGTTTTCGAATAAAACGGCTGGCACACTTATATCAATCACCCTGTATAGATTTCATGGGCCCAACAAATGGACAACAATTTTTCATTGTTGTTGATGCCTTCTCCAAATGGGTAGAGGTAATACCCACAAAAACAGCAACTACCGATTGGACTATTAAGGAGTTGAAGAAACTTTTTAGTACTTTTGGTCTTCCAAGCCTCCTAATTTCAGAAAATGGACGAAGTTTCACTTCTCTTACTTTTCAAGAGTTTCTTAAGTCATGTGGAACTCAACACAAAACGACTGCTCCGTTCCACCCATCATCTAATGGACAAGCTGAACGCTTTGTACAAACAGTGAAGAAGATATTAGATGAACCAGGAACACTTGACAGTAAAATTCACAAGGCGTTAATTCAACTCCGTCAAGTACCAAACTCAACAGGAAACTCGGCATACTATCTCATGTTCAACAGACAAGTAAGAACATACCTCAGTGTTATGATACCTTCTAGAATCGAGGACTCAAAAGACAAACCTAAAGGTATAACACGCATATTTAAGGTGGGAGACCGTGTTCAAGTGAGAAACTACTACAAGGGTCAGACAAAATGGAGTTTCGGAAAAGTTACATCAAGAGATGGAAATCTACATTACAACGTTGAACTGGAGAACGGAGTAACATGCAGACGACATGTAGATCAAATGCTGCGATCAAGACTTTAAAGGGGGAAAATTGATGTGTCTTTTCTAACATACTGTATGTTTAACAAAATACCATATGTTATATTTAATAAGTTAACTTTGTTTTTGTTTACAATCATTGTTATTTAGGATTCAATTCAGAATACACCTATTTTATTTTACACATCTTTTATTTAATATGTAATACTTACTTAATTGGTCGTAAGTTTATTTGAACTATACAAACAACCACTACCAAAATGGGGACCCCGACGTGATGCGGCAGTAGGTAGGTGATCCATATGCTTACGCAGCCTGGACACCATTCCTTGTGGTTTGTCGTTCTCGTGAGAAGGTACTACGAAAAACTCTCCCAGAAGACGCAGTGATTCGCTGTACAGTAGTTCAGTCGACAAAGCAGGTGAAGATCTTAGCCCTTAGCCCTAATGAAGATCTTAATCCGAGAAGGACTACGGGCAGTAGTTCGGTCAAGTCTGATTTGCTGTGAGCCATTATGGCATCTTTCAACAGGCGGTAGTCTCTCAACCATGCCGTTGTCTTGTGGATGCCAACTGGTGGTGAACTGAAGAAGCTTTATTCCCAACTGTCGCTCTAGATTTTTGAACAAAGTCGAAAAGAACTGGGATCCGCGATCACATGTCAGCTTTTGTGGGCACCCAAATCGAGCTATCCAAGTACAGACAAATGCTAGAGTAACAGATTCTGCAGTTATTTGATTAATAGGACACGCTTCAGGCCAATGAGTAAATCTATGTATGATAGTTAGAAAGTACAGTAGAGTTCTGCAAACTCTGCGTAATGTGTTCTGGAATGGTGCTGAGTTTGTGAAATGCCGGGTTATCAGAAACTAGGGTTAAAAATAAGAACGATACAATTTTTAAGCTTTTTAACTGCCTTTTTTATTCATACTTATATTACAAGTCAGTATTAAGTCATCAGATATAGTACAACAAACCCTTGGTATGAGTTGCAAGCAACTGAGCTGCAGGCAACTTGTCACAACGCTGTTGAAAGGCATAAATAAGTGGTTTACGATCTGTGAATATTGTGAAAGAAGTTGATTCAAAGAGATGACGGAAATGCTGCACTGCTTCATAAATATCAAGTAGTTCTCTGTAGTATGCAGACCAGGTGCACTATTTGTGTGAAAGTCTTTTGGAGAAAACCCCTAAAGGTTGCCAAGCGTCAATCGACAAACTGTTGGAGGCAAGTAGCTACACTTACTCCAGAGGCATTTGTATGGAGACCAAGAGGAGCATCAGGTTTCAGACATCATGAATGGAAATTCAAATAACCCAAATTGAGTGGTGATTGCTGTTTTTTGGATGTCATCTTCGTGGACGGGAATTTGGTGGAAAGCCTTTGTCAAATCAATGGCAGAGAAATTGAATATCAAACATCCACGACCAAAGGTGTTGAAATGTGTTACAAATAAATGTGGTAAATGAATTTGTTACAAGCCTATATTTATTCAAACGAGCTCACGAACCAATGTGCAGATTTATCAGAGTGCTGGCTGGCATCTTGGCCTCGCATTTCAGCAACTGCTGAGCGTTGCTCTCTCCGGTTGGGTTGGCTGTCTTTGAAGGAGTGGGCATTTTGGATATCAGGGATGGCCTCCCTTACCTCGGCCTTTGTCAAAAGTCCGTCAACCTCCTGGATCTCTAACGAATCCCTAGACTTGAGTTCCTGAATGGTACCCATAACTCACAGAGCCTCTCTGCGCGGTTGTCAGATTTCCCCAGTTCAGGGAGAACTTTTCCGTTCTGGGTAAACCTGATCGACTTACCGGTTGGGTTAGCCGTCTTGGAAGGAGTCGGCATTTTGGATATCAGAGATGGCCTTTGTGATGGCCTCCATGACCTCGGCCTCCGTCAAAATACTCCTGTCTACATTCAATTCTTCACTTATCAAAGGAGATCCTATAGGGGGAAACTCCTTTGGGAACTTGAAGGCTGAAGGCAGTGGAGATGTCCTCACGTTTTTACTGGTGGGATCTCTGGACCTAGGAGCTGGAAAGGGTTCCACTCAATTTCCGACCTTGATTCTTGCTTTTTCGAGCTGCTACTCAATAAAGTGTGGGGGGAGGGAGTTTGTAAAAGCCATAAGGAGTATGTGTTTACCGGCATATCTTGCAGCAAGAAATGGACTGGAAACGGAAAGTAACGGGTATAGCCTAGGGGAATATCCCCTACCCCAGTTTCCCAGGGCCCGACCTCCAATTGCTCAGCACGGATTCCTGACGTGCATGGGTTCGCCCGTTGCAATGGAGAGCCCGAGATCTACATCCTTACCAAGGACTGAAGTGGCTAGCTCCTCACGCCTCACTGAGAATACCCTTTAGAAGTGCGGAGCACACATCAACCCTTGCCCCTGCAACACAACAGGGTCACTCCCAGGGACTCCCAGTGAGAGCGTCGTCGCCATTTTAGTCGCCTCTTACGACAAGCCGGGGAAGGCTGTGGTCCTATTCTAACCCGGAAACCACACGGGGAATTTTATTTCACAACTAAAAAACACCTTCAAAGTCTGCTGTTAACATAAAAAATATAATAAATATTTTGTCTCCATGTATTTTGTTCCACACCTATCGAATGATATAAATAATAATATCACTTTCAAGACCTGCCTGTTGTCCTTCAAGTAGTGTCATAGAAAGGGTTATGTTTGATTTATGTTTATATTGTCACCTACCTAAGTGTTGAAGTGCTGCTTTACCAGATATAGTTAAAATATTAAAAGTTACATAACTTTGCCTTACTGTATTGTCTTATCCTAATATTTGTAACACGATTCATCTATTTCCAAATTTAGTCAACTCCTTTGAACCAACACAGTTTTACCCAAAAATATCCAGCCAACTTCTTGAAGTATACTTCTACTTACCTGAACACATCCCAACATGTTGAGGGGATACTTAAAACTTAATATACAAATTTTAAAAGGAGTTCTTGTTTATACAAACCTCTTGGATTACCCAGCGTAGCCTCTGTGACTGGTAACCAATCTTCACAAAGCAGAGAAGCACTCTTGTCGTGGGCTTCACAAAGAGGAGAAGCACTCTTGTTGTGGACTTCACAAAGATGAGAGGCACTCTTGTCATGACTTCACAAACAGGAGAAGCACTCTTGTCATGGAGTTCACAAAGATGAGAGGCACTCTTGTCGTGGACTTCACAAAAAGGAGAAGCACTCTTGTCATGGAGTTCACAAAGATGAGAGGCACTCTTGTCGTGGACTTCACAAACAGGAGAAGCACTCTTGTCATGGAGTTCACAAAGAGGAGAAGCACTCTTGTCATGGAATTCACAAAGATTAGAGGCACTCTTGTCGTGGACTTTACAAAGAGGAGAAGCACTCTTGTCGTGGACTTCACAAAGATGAGAAGCACTCTTGTCGTGGACTTCACAAAGATGAGAGGCACTCTTGTCGTGGACTTCACAAACAGTAGAAGCAGTCTTGTCGTGGACTTCACAAAGATGAGAGGCACTCTTGTCGTGGACTTCACAAACAGAAGAAGCACTCTTGTCGTGGACTTCTCAAAGATGAGAGGCACTCTTGTCTTGGACTTCACAAAGCACTCTTGACGATTTGACACTCCTCTCACAGCAGGCATGGTGATCTTCCCATATATTCAAATATATATTCAGTTGACCTAAAACCATCTCCCTACCCTATCCTACAAACTTCTTTGGAAACCCCAGGATAAAAGTTTAAATGAAACTCTTAATCGATGCCTACACAGTCTCTTACACTCTTTTAAAAGGAAAACAAACCATATACTAATAATTGTATATTGCACTTTTTATCTGTAAACAGGTCATTAGAACTTCTGTCTCTCGCTGCCCCCCTCTTACCTATCTTACCCCATAACCCCGGCCCTGACTATCCTATCATTATTTCAGCCCACGTCCCTGAGTCAAATCAAAATCCCTCCCCCCTTAAAACCACCCCCTCTAACCTACTCATTTTTTAATGCCCACGTCCTGGCTATCCTATCAAGCTTTTCCCATCCCTGTCATAGGCAGAAGTTCTAAGGACCTGTAAAAATGTTGTATTGTATTTATTTTAAGAATTATATTTATTTTTTTTATCATTGGATTTATAAAAAAAAATCTTTGAAAAACAAGCAAAACCCCCCCTTTTTTTACGAGAACTTTCACTACAACAGTAAATAAACATCAGGATAAAAATTTATCGATTCTGTAATCAAAAGAAACCATAGAAAGCCTTACACTCTTTCAGAATGAAAACCAAACCAATAGAAGAGACCAAATGCTTCCCCTTGTCTACATATACAGGTCATTAGAACTTCCGTCTCTCATTGCCCCCCTCTAACCTATCTCACCCCATAGCCCCGTGCCCTGACTAGCCTTTCATTATTTGCCCTCGTCCCTGAGTAAAAGAATCCCTCCCCCCTTAAAACCCCCTTCTAACCTACTCATTTTTTAATGCCCAATTCCTGGCTATCCTATCAAGCTTTTCCCATCCCTGTCATAGGCGGAAGTTCTAAGGACCTGCTTTGTATTTTTCAATAAATAAAAGTTATTTATGACTGTATTTTCCTTACAGTATCTCTATTGTTAAACAAACTAACAGTTTAATCTGATCAAGCGAATACTCTACAACATTTTGATATACTCGAGGATACAAATTGAACCTGTCTCTAACCAAAAGAAGACTACGCAGTTTACTAAACTCCTTTAAATAAAAAACAAAACTTCTACGAACCCATATTTGTTTTTTTTACATACACAGGTCATTAGAACTTCCGTCTCTCGCTGCCCCCCTCTTACCTATCTCACCCCATAACCCCATGCCCTGACTAGCCTTTCATTATTCAGCCCTTGTCCCTGAGTAAAATAATCCCTCCCCCCTTAAAACCCCCCTCTAACCTACTCATTTTTTAATGCCCAATTCCTGGCTATCCTATCAAGTTTTCCCCATCCCTGTCATAGGCGGAGTACTAAGGACCTTTTTGATGTTTTCTAAAATGTTACAATTTATTATTTTTTGACAATG